GATTCTGTGAGCATCTTTGAGAAAGTGATAGACATTTGTTTGATCTTCCATTCCATCCACCCCCATTCTGAGGGCCTGACTTAGGTAAAGGTAAAGGTAAAGGGACCCCTGACCATTAGGTTCAGTCATGGCCGACTCTGGGGTTGTGGCGCTCATCTCGCTTTACTGGCCGAGGGAGCCGGCGTACAGCTTCCAGGTCATGTGGCCAGCATGACTAAGCGGCTTCTGGCGAACCAGAGCAGCGCACGGAAACGCCGTTTACCTTCCTACCGGAGCGGTACCCATTTATCTACTTGCACTTTGACATGCTTTCGAATGGATAGGTTGGTAGGAGCAGGGACTGAGCAACGGAAGCTCACCCCGTCGCAGGGATTCAAACAGCCGACCATCTGATCGGCAAGTCCTAGGCTCTGTGGTTTAGACACAGCACCACCTGCATTCCCATTCTGAGGGCTTGACTTAGGTAGCTATACTTAAAGCCTTGCATCTACTGAGATGTTGTATTCTGTGCTATGAACTTAATGTAAGGTGCGTTCCAAATGAAGGAAGGAAGAATGGAAGGAAGATCTTGATAGGGTCTCCCCAAAATGCTCAGGTTCCGACTTTGGTGCACCTCCAAGGGAAATTCCATAAAGTGGGGAACCACCTCTACTAGTCCCATACATCGTGAAGCCATAAGGAGAGCCCTACTGGATCAAGCTGGTGTCCCATCAAGTCCAGCATCTTGGTCTCACAGAGGCCAACTGCATGCCTGTGGCATCTCTGAGCAGTCAGCCACTACACACATGTGCAGATCACAGGTGCGTCCACCAGGTAGGCAGGCAAGCACACACACACAACAGAGGGGGGACATACAGACAGAGGATGGAGCATTCTCAACAAAGTATAGTTCCCAGGATTCTTCAGGGGAAACCAAGTGGTATCTTAATACTGTAGATATATACAGTAAGTCCATGACTTACGTGGTGGGTACGCTCCATCGATCGCTCCCAAAGCCAAAATCGTGTGCAGGCAATGGTTGATTGATATGCATCCAATAGATGCACAACTGTGCATGCGCCCATTGTGGCAACCCAGAAGTAGACGGAAAAGGGGGTGGGAGGGTCAGGGGGTCAGGAACACCACCCCTATGAAAATCAGTTGTTGCCGGTATAGTCAAAACACACTGCATTCAATGGAAGATGGGATTGCCAAAGTATTTTCTGGAACCCCAGCACCCTTCCTTTTTTTACATGTTTGGCCATGCACCTAAAGCTGAATGTGCATAAATTGTGGGCTTACTGTCGTACAGATGTGTCCTTGTTTGGTTGCAGCAGTCATGTAGCACCTTAAAGCCCATCGGCTTCATTGTGGCAGAAGCTTTCATGGACTAGAGTCCACTTTTTTCTGATGCATCGTTTCTTAGTCCACAAAAACTTGTGCCGTCAGAAAGAACTGCCTTTAAAGTGCTACGAGATTTGCGATGTGTGTGCCTGTGTGTTCCTCCCTCTGCTTTAAGGCTTGTTTCTTTGGCCTCACACAGGATCTTCCAATCTCAGCAGAAACAGAGCCTCCTGCTTCTGGACTGACAGGTCACCTTGGAACACCATTAAAGCAATCTCCCTTGCTGGGAATTACGTGTGGTGCTATCCTTAAGAAGGACCGGTGGGCATGGCAGCCACCGGCTCAAATGTGCCTAACACCTTGAGGAAAATCTGCCTCAAATCCCATTGCGTCTGTAATGAGCGAGGGCTTTTGTCATTGGGATGCTAAGCCCAGCCCGGCAAGCAATGTCTCTCTGACTCCTAATGGGATTTGCCCATCTTTAGCAGTGAGATAGATTGATCCACGCGTGACTCAAGGGGATGGGGCTTAAGAGATGCCTGAGGTCTCCTTAGGTGAGGAGGGAGGCAGTTCCATCTGATACATAGCCACAAGTATCAGAGAATAGGGGTTAGTGGTTTGTAAGTCCCTCAAAGTAGGCCACCTTGATGCAAGAACTGGATGCAGAGAGTCCTTCATGCGAAATTGCAGGGGGCAGGTGAGAAGCAATGAGGAGGGGTGACCATAACAAGAGAATTTGCAAAGACTGAACTGAAATGAAAGTTTTTTATGATACTTGCATGAAAGTTTTCATTTCTGAGGCCCTCCGGTTGAAGAATTTCAGTCTACCCCTGGAGAACATTTGGCAAAATGCTGCCCTCCCAGTTTCACAACTCGCGAAATGCAGGCAAAACTGTGGATCCAGGTTGAATATTATTTTAATCTTCTTGAAGGAAGCAACAGATTTTGCCCCAACTCCTTCCCATACCCTCTCTTAGACTGTTACAGTGGACTCTCGTGTTGCGGACGTGATCCGTGCTGGATGCACGTCCACAACCCGCAGCGTCCGCAACCTGCAGTGGCGCGTCTGCACATGCGCAGGTTGCGATTTGGCGCACCTGCGCATGCGCAAAGCGCAATTTAGCCCTTCTGCACATGCACGACCACCGAAACCCAGAAGTAACCCATTCGGTACTTCCAGGTTTCCGCAACCTGAAAAAACGCAACCTGAAGCGTCTGTAACCTGAGGCATGACTGTACTTCCTTGTACATTGGTATGAACTAACAATGATTTCAGTACCCCTACCCTAAAAATGTTCTCGAAAGTGTTCTCGAAGCTACGAACATGAGTTTGACCAAACTGCGGGTGGAAGTGGAAGACAGGAGTGCCTGGCGTGCTCTGGTCCATGGGGTCACAAAGAGTCAGACACAACTAAACAACAACCCCCAAAAATAATATTTGTCAATATTAGTGCAATGCTGAAGATTTATCTCACATTTGTTTGAAAATTCTCCATCACCTAATGGGGGTGGTGGAATCCCTACAGACCTTCCTGGGTGTTGCGATCAGCAGAGGGAGTGACCCACCTCCTTTAGAAGTTGGCAGTTGTCTTGGTAGTTCCACCTTCCTCAAAGTGGGGCTCTACGTGGGGCTGCCCTTGAGACTGACCCAGAAACTCCAGCGGGTGCAGAATGCCGCAGCGAGACTCCTTACGGGGTCTTCACTGCGGGATCACATTCATCCGGTGCTATACCAGCTGCACTGGCTCCCGGTGGAGTACAGGATCAGGTTTAAGGTGCTGGTTTTAACCTTCAAAGCCCTATACGGCCTAGGACCCTCGTACCTACGGGACCGCCTCTCCTGGTATGCCCCACAGAGGAACTTACGGTCCTCAAATAAAAACATCTTGAAGGTCCCAGGCCACAGAGAGGTTAGGCTGGCCTCAACTAGAGCCAGGGCTTTTTCGGCTGCGGCTCCAACCTGGTGGAACGCTCTGTCACAAGAGACAAGGGCCCTGCAGGACTTGACATCTTTCCGCAGGGCCTGCAAGACAGAGCTGTTCCACCAGGCCTCTGGTTGGGGCACAGCCTGACTCCCTCCTTTGGCAATCTTTACAATACTTTAGTTTATGGTTGCCATCAATTTTGATTTTAATTAATTCTTATGATGTTTTATAATGTTGCACTATTTTAGTGTTGTTAGCCGCCCTGAGCCCGGCTTCGGCTGGGGAGGGCGGGATATAAATAAAATTTATTATTATTATTATTATTAAATGTTCGGGGGGTGTTGGTCCAGCAAGAGAGGGGGCATTTTCTGTTGTAGAATTTTCTCCCCACAAAGGTGTGTCTGGCTTCACTGTACAGCAAACAGCAAATGCTGTAGATGAATTTTTTGTGATGTTAATTTAATAACAAATAGTGGCAGTTTCATTAATTTCCAAAAAAAGGAGAGGGAGACTATACAAGATTCTGCAAAATACAGTGTTATCAAACAGGATCTGGTGACCATGAACACAGTCCATATACAATTAGAGACCACTGTCGAACAAATACAGCCGTGAAATTAAACCAACATACATAAACCATAGGTATGTAATTGCAAGGAAGGTAGTGAGTAGAACTATTTATAACATATAATGGCTAATACCCTGAGTCTATATGGGACACGGGTGGTGCTGTGGTCTAAACCACAGAGCCTAGGGCTTGCTGATTGGAAGGTCGGCGGTTCGAATCCCCACAACAGGGTGAGCTCCCATTGCTTGGTCCCTGCTCCTGCCAACCTAGCAGTTTGAAAGCATGTCAAGTTCAAGTAGATAAATAGGTACCGCTCTGGCGGGAAGGTAAAATGGTGTTTCCGTGCGCTGCTCTGGTTTGCCAGAAGTGGCTTAGTCATGCTGGCCACATGACCCGGAAGCTGTCTGCAGACAAACGCCGGCTCCCTCGGCCTGAAAGTGAGATGAGCGCGCATCCCCAGAGTCGTCCACGATTGGACTTAATGGTCAGGGGGTACCTTTACCCTGAGGCTATATCAGCCACATTCATTCATAGGCCAAGATGGGTTTTGGCCATGTTCCTCCTTGCTTGCAAATGAAATAAAATCAGACCAAAGAGGTCCAAAATCGTGCTTTCTTATTGGCCCCTAAGGACTCTCAGCTTAATCATCGGGTTTTTTCCAGCAGGAAAGTGAAGGATAGCTCAGCCAGTAAAACCATGAGTCTCTTTAATCTCAGGATCATTGGGCAGAAGATTCCTGCATCACAGAAGGTTGGACTGGATAACCCTCGTGGTCCCTTCCAACTCTACAGTTGTCTGGTTGTATGGAAGTGTTGCTATCTCTCTGTGTTACAAGGATCATAGTGGAGGGTAGACTGTCGATGGCTGCTGTCCATTGTGATTATGTTTCTGGATGGCAGTTGCTGGGAATCACAAGAGGGAAAGATGTTCTGGTACTCAGGTCCCAATTGCAGGCTTCCCCTGGGCACCTGGTTGTCCACCGTGAGAACAGGATGTTGAACTGGCTGGGCCAATGGCCGGATCCAGTATATCTCTTATGTTCTTAGTAAAAGGAGCCTCCGTCTTATGGGAGAATTCTAGGTTTCCTTCACCCCAAGGCAAGCAGACTGATTCCTTACTGCAAAGGGCCATTTGCAAATGACTCTAACCGTAACTGTTTGCCTGTTTTGCTTTATTCTGTTTAGGCCTACCTGCCTTGGTGGTGGCCATCTCTGTGGGATTCACGAAAGCCAAGGGGTACGGCACCATGAACTAGTGAGTAACAGTTTCCTTCTTTCTTTCTTTCTTTCTTTCTTTCTTTCTTTCTTTCTTTCTTTCTTTCTTTCTTTCTTTCTTTCTTTCTTTCTTTCTTTCCTTCCTTCCTTCCTTCCTTCCTTCCTTCTTCTCTTCCTCCCTTCTTTCGTCTCACATTTCAAGGCACACATTTTTTGCTTTCTTTATTTGCAAAAATCTCTGTACCGCAAACCACTGAGCAGCCTAAAATATTCTAGTGAACGGTATAAAAGCAACAATAAAATTACATCCCTAAAATGAGTACAAAATGCATCACAAATCAGCAGATTGGCTCAATGCATCAACATTGCTGGATCACCCCTCGGGAAAAGCCTGGGCGAATCAATGAGTTTTAAACAGGATGCAGGTGGTGCTGTGGTCTAAACCACTGAGCCTCTTGGTCTTGCCGATCAGAAGGTTGGCAGTTCGAATCCCTGTGATGGGGTGAGCTCCTGTTGCTCTGCCCCAGCTTCTGCCAACCTAACAGTTCAAAAGCATGCCAGTGCAAGTAGATAAATAGGTACCACTGTGGCAGGAAGGTAAACAGCGTTTCTGTGCGCTCTGGTTTCCATCACAGTGTTGTGTTGTGCCAGAAGTGGTTTAGTCCTGCTGGCCACATGCCCCGGAAAGCTGTCTGTGGACAAATGTCGGCTCCCTCAGCCTGAAATCGAGATGAGTGGCACAAACCTATATGCACCTTTGACTGGACCAGTGGTACTTGACCTTTTTTTACCTTTAAGCAGATGCGTAAATGCCAATACTGTAGCTGTCTTCCTGATGTTTATTAGGTATCTCTTGTGGACTTCTGCTTGCTGGTTTCCCATTGAGGCACCTGGTTTGCAACAATGAGAGCAGAATGCAGGATTAGATGGGTCATTGGCCTGATCCATCTTCTTATGTTCATGTATCCTTATGTAAATGTCATTGTGCTCTGAGGTGCTTTGAGTGAACCAGTTTTGAAATGGTCGTAGTATTACTGCTACGACAACAACACATTCCAATGTGCAGGTGCTTGAAGATGCTCATGAGGCATAATCACCCCAAATTACTGGGCTATGAGGTTTGGGCGTGCATGATGCTCACCTCAAAGATGAGGCGTGCAGTGCAGACCCCAGATTCTTCTCTACCTCAGTTAAAATCCAAGCTGGAGAAGAATTATTTGCTTGCTTCTCGGCTCCTGAGTCCGAAAGACAGTGCTTTTTTTCAGCAGGAGCATGCCAGAGTCCAGTTCCGACATGTTTCAGATGAGCGCCATAGGAGCCAACTCCTAGGGACAGAGGGGTCTTCGGCCCCCCAATAAAATATTTGAGGGGGCCCACACACCCCAAAAGTTGATGGACATTGCCATTCAAATAGTCTGTGTGCACTGTGTCATGTGATTGATTATCACATGAGAGAGACTGGGGATCTGATAGCTTTCCCTTCCTCAGTTGTGTAGTCAGACTTTGGTCTTTCAAATTCCAGGGTATGGTCAGCGGTGAGTGAATCTGTCAACTGATGTTTCTTTTGGTTTCTCATTTTCCCAATTTCAAATTCGGTTCTCTGTGTTTCCATATCAGTTTGCAGATTATTATTTTTTAGAAACCTCATCAGCATTCCGCTACAATTTTTTACTGATGTACACATTTTTATACACAGTTTTGTTTTATATACACGTTCCACTCTTTGGCAGTGGAACACCCTCTGAAGAAAGTTTTTAAGCAGAAGTTGGATGATCTGTCAGAGATGCTATAGTTGAGATTCCTTCATTGCAGTCGGTTGGACTAGATGATGCTCAGGATCTCTTCTTTAAGTGCATTTCATTTCATGTTTCATCAAACAGAATCCTTAATTTATGGATTTTCCCCACCACTGTGTACACTTTAATGAGGAATTTATCCGGGTATATTCATTTTTGTAAACATTACTTAGCTGGAGAAGTGCACGGTGAAACTCTGAGAAGCACAGTTTACATGCTCTTTAAGAGGTCTGCAGCAAATTGCACCAACATAAGTTCTTTCAGAGGGACGTGGGTGGCGCTGTGGGTTAAACCACAGAGCCTAGGACTTGCTTATCAGAAGGTCGGCGGTTCGAATCCCCACAATGGGGTGAGCTCCCGTTGCTCGGTCCCTGCTCCTGCCAACCTAGCAGTTCGAAAGCATGTCAAAATACAAGTAGATAAATAGGTACCGCTCCGGCGGGAAGGTAAACGGCATTTCCGTGCGCTGCTCTGGTTTGCCAGAAGTGGCTTAGTCATGCTGGCCCATTGACCCGGAAGCTGTACGCTGGCTCCCTTGGCCAATAAAGCGAGATGAGCTCCAGAACCCCAGAGTCGGCCACGACTGGACCTAATGGTCAGGGGTCCCTTTACCTTTTAAGTTCTTTCAGAGTTCCAAGTCTTCCTCTGGGTTTTAGTTGAGACTTGGTGTGGCAGCTATTCCTACAGGGAGTCCCAGCCTCTTCCCATCTCAAGAAACATGATTCAAATGATATTGATAGTTTAGTTACGTCTTATACATTTTCCATGTTCCCTTTTTCTATTATGCTGAAAGAGAGAGAGAGTGCATGTATGGGGATGCTGGACTACATGATTGGCCTGATCCAGACTCTTCTTAATGTTCTTTTACATGGCAAGAGTATTATCTGTCTCTGCACTATGGAACCCAAATATTCTTGGTGAGGCATGACTAGCAGACAGCCCAGATTCTGCAGCAGCTTCCCAAAGCAAAATGTTGGCATGGTTGCAAAGAGGAGCAGATGGTCACAGGGAACTCCAAAGAGAGCAGCCCAGCAGGATTGTCAGAATCGAGTTTAGGGACTCTGGATGTCCCGGTGGCAGATTCCCCAGTGCTCAGAGGAAAACAAGAGACGAGAACCAGCTGAAATTAAATCTGTGAGGAAAGAAAATGGAGTCAATCCGATGCAACATTGGGTGGATCAAAATGATATTGCAGTCTACCCTCAGCTGACCTCTGGAATTCTGATGTATTTAAAATGCTCTGTTTGACACGTGCATTTGGAATTAGCATATTTTGATATGAGTTCAGATGGTCATATGTTCACCATGGGAGGTCTGAGGTTGATGAAATATCTTGGGATGTGCAGGGAAGTGCAGAGCTATACTACTACTACTACTACTACTAAATTTATTACTGTATTTATAACCCACCCATCTGGATGGGTTTCCCCAGCCACTCTGGGCAGCTCCCAACACAATATTAAAAACACGATAAAGCATCAAACAATAAAAACTTCCTAAACAGGGCTGCCTTCAGATGTCTTCTAAAAGTCAGATAGTTGTTTATTTCTTTGACATCTGATGGGAGGGCGTTCCACAGGGCAGACGCCACTACCAAGAAGGCCCTCTGCCTGGTTCCCTGCAACCTCTCTTCTCACAGGGAGGGAACTGCCAGAAGGCCCTCAGAGCTGGACCTCAGTGGCTGGACGATGGGGGTGGAGATGCTCCTTCAGGTATACTGGGCTGAGGCTGTTTAGGGCTTTATAGATCAGCACCAACACTTTGAATTGGGTGGTCAGGGCATCGGAAGGTCTGCAGGGCTTCAGTGATGCCAACATCCATGCTCCACACCACAGCTCACTCAAGCCATGTTTCTGAGCTCTTCCTTAGTGCGATGCTGATAACACCAAGGCTGCAGGTTTGATCCCCTTATGGGATAGCTGCATATTCCTGTTTTGCGGAGGGTTGGATTTCCAACTCAAGGTCCCTTCCAACTCTACAATTCTGTGAAGAGCCTGCTGCTCCAGGCTAATGGTCCATCTATTCCAGCATCCTATTCTCACAGTGGCCAATCAGATGCCCCAATGGGAAGTCCACAACCAGGACCTGGATGCAACAGCGCTCCACACTTGTGAGTCCAGGCAAGTGTTATGAAGAGGCATAATGCCTTTGACTTTGGAGGTAGAACTTATGGCTACTAGGCACTTAAAGCCTTTATGAATTAGTCTAAGCCTTGCTAAAGGCCCTTCAAGTTGGTGGCTATCACTACATCTCATGGGATTGAATTCCAGTGGTGATCTATGGGCTACGTGAATAGTTTTAAAAGTTCTGGGAAATAATGAACGTGCAAATAGCTTTTAGAAGTCCTGGGAATAATGAGCTGACCAGCAAGAACAGCAACAAAAATTCAAGCTGAAGGTTCCCTGCGGAGAAATTTTTGATCTACCTGGACTTCCGATGCAAGCTATTGGATGTTCACTGAGTGGAGGGTTTTGTGTTTGCTCCTGACTGGCAATGGAGCAGCAGGAATTAATCACATAGCACAGTGTCACAAGAAAGAGTTTGTTCTGCAGAGGGGACCTGCACAACGGTTCGACAAAGCACAGCCAGGACACAGCTGGACGTTGTGATGTTTTACCACTTGTAGGAAAGATAAACTGGAAGTTGCTGACACAACATGGGGGTTGCAGTTTTTAATCACGCAGTTCCTGGACAAAGGCAGCCTCCCTGTTGCCTCTCAAACCTTCACATTCACGATCGTGCAGGACTGTATAGGTTAGAATCCCTGAGTTTCAATTATTCCTATATATGGAGAAGCTTCCTATTTTCTTGTTCCTTTAAAATCACTGTTGTTCCTTTAGCCTACATTTAAAGTGGCATCACACCACTTTAAACAGTCCTGACTTTCCACAAAGAATCCCACAGATTCTTTGCTAAGGATGCTAAGAGTTGATAAAGGTAAAGGGACCCCTGATCATTAGGTCCAGTCGTGGCCGACTCTGGGGTTGCAGCGCTCATCTCGCTTTATTGGCTGAGGGAGCCGGCGTACAGCTTCCAGGTCATGTGGCCAGCATGACTAAGCCACTTCTGGCGAACCAGAGCAGCGCACGGAAACGCTGTTTACCTTCCCGCTGGAGCAGTACCTATTTATCTACTTGCACTTTGATGTGCTTTCGAACTACTAGGTTGGCTGGAGCAGGGACCGAGCAACAGGAGCTCAACCCATCGCGGGGATTCGAACCGCCAACCTTCTGATCGGCAAGTCCGAGGCTCTGTGGTTTATCCCACAGCGCCACCCACATCCCACTAAGAGTTGATAGGAGGCGCCTATACCCTTCTTAGTTCTACAGCTCCCAGAGTGGTTAGAAATGGTGCTTGAAAGAACATACAGATATTTTTAAACCTGGATTTAATATGCAGAGAGCAGCAAGAAGGATCCTGCTTAATGAAACATTAAATGAAATGCATTTAAAGGTGAACTTACTTAATCCATACTCAATGAAGCAATACGTGAACCAAAAAAAAACAAGAACCCAGCAACCGTTGCAATTTTCACGTCTCTTCATTTTGCAACGCTGTTTTCCTGCAAAATAACATGTGCGAGAAATGTATATAAGGTTGCAAAGTGTTAATAAAACAATCATAGGTTACTGAAAATATTATACCCCCAAAATGCATTTGATTATGGGAAGCTGCTTTGTGAAAACGTGTAGAGAGGCAGAACTCTGGGAGAACAGGGTTCAAATCCCCACTTGGCCATGAAGCTCAGTGGATGTCCTTTGGAGTCAGTTACTGCCTCTCAGCCTAACCGACCTTGCAGGGTTGTTGTGGGGGTTAGACCCATGTGCTCCACCCTGAGCTCCTTAGAGCACAATGTGGAATATAAGGGCAATAAATTAATTAAAGCCACTTCCGCCCTACAGAGGAGGTGGGGTTGCGGGCTTCACGCTCCCACCATGCACACGGTGGCTGGAGCCCAGTCCCCACACGATTGGGGGAATCCCCAGCCGCGTCACCCCCTGGCCGGCCAATTGGCTGGCTCTGGGGGCGTGGCCTGCCCGATTTAAGGCAGGACACGGCAGGGGATCTCCCCTCTTTTGTCGCCTGCCAGCTGTTCCTGCTATGACTATTTAAAAAAAAAAGTGAGTATGTGAAAATTTGAAAAGGAAAATGAAAATTGGGTGAACCCAAAATTGACACGTTTCCCCAACCCTAATTAATACAAGTGTTTATCATGCAACTTGTCTCATTGAGCAGACCTAGAATCATAGAATCATAGAGTTGGAAGAGACCACAAGGGCCATCGAGTCCAACCCCCTGCCAAGCAGGAAACACCATCAGAGCACTCCTGACATATGGTTGTCAAGCCTCTGCTTAAAGACCTCCAAAGAAGGACCTCTCCCGCTTCCCATTTTCCTCATTTTTTTAATGCTGTTTTTGTGCAATGTTTCTGCTGTGCCTGGAGACTAGTCTCGCCACTGCTCTGACGTCTGTTTTCTCCCTCTTCCTCTCCTAGTTGTTGGCTTTCTTTGGAAGGAGGTCTCCTTTATGCCTTCGTGGGACCAGCAGCGGCTGTCGTTTTGGTACTTTCCCCGAATTCCGAACATTTTTCTTTTTCTATGTGTGCCTTCCCTATGCTCCCAACTCCCCCAAAGACCACTTATTCTTTTATTTTTATTTTTTTAAAAAGAGACACACACTCTCTCTACCTTCAAGAGGAAATTGCTCCTTGAGGAAAGCAAAAGTGCCCAAGCTAAGGTCCTTTCTCCACAGGAGATTTGTTTTAGATTAATTAAGAGTGTGAATGCCATATTGATGGGTGAATTTGAATGAAGGCACTTAAGGGAAGGGAAAGGAGGATTAAGAGTGGTTTGCTTCGTGTAGCAGTTGCAAAGGTCTGGCATTAGCTGTGTTCAAAGGACCCTGAATATACTGTGATTAATAGGCATTCACGAACAAAACGTAATTCAGGACAGTCTGTCTGAAATGTGCATAAACACTGTTTGAGGGACAAGAGATCTGGCAAGGAGTCATGGACAACTGGGGGCGGGGCTAACCTTGCACAGGATCTCTGTGTTGTAGCAACAGAGAAATTGTAGGAACCGTATAGCCATGCATCCTTGGAGCATGCCCTCTCTATTTTTCCCTCTTCCTCATTACGTCTAGGTAAATGCAATACACAATGCAACAGGGAATAATAAAAATTGCAAAATTTTTTATTATTATTATTATTATTATTATTATTATTATTATTATTATCTGCCCTTCATGCTAATATCTCAGGGAAGGTTACAACAATTTAAAATACAGTTTCAAAACATGCAATTAAAAAGAGGCATCAAGAGTATAATAATAATACAGTGGTACCTCGGGTTAAGAACTTAATTCATTCTGGAGGTCCGTTCTTAGTCTGAAATTGTTCTTAACCTGAGGTACCACTTTAGCTAATGGGGCCTCCCGCTGCCGCTGTGCCACTGCCACATGATTTCTGTTTTCATCCTGAAGCAAAGTTCTTAACCCGAGGTACTATTTCTGGGTTAACGGGGTCTGTAACCTGAAGCGTCTGTAATCTGAGGTACCACTAATAATAATAATAATAATAATAATAATAATAATAATAATAATAATAATAATTTATTTATTTATTTATTATTTATACCCCGCCCATCAGGCTGAGTTTCCCCAGCCATTCTGGGCGGCTCCCAATCGAGTGTTAAAAACAATATAGCATTAAATATTAAAAACTTCCTTCATATGTCTTTTAAAAATAAGATAGCTGCTTATTTCCTTGACATCTGATGGGAGGGCGTTCCACAGGGTGGGCGCAACTACTGAGAAGGCCCTCTGCCTGGTGAGAGGTGAGCGATGGGGACCAGCTCACATTTTGATGCGGAACTCCCCACTATGCAAACTTGATATGCAGCAATCCTTCCTTTCTGAAAGTTTGCATTGCAGTTCTTGAACCAAATGCTATGTGCAAAGAATAAATAAAATGTGCGTGTTAGGGGGAAGGGTGCCTTGAAATGCATGCCTTAGTGAAAATAACATACAAAATGCATTATGTTAAAGGAATTTGTTTGCCCAAAAAGTGCATATCCAGAGAAATTCACACTAACCCACTGATGAATTTTGCAAAAGTGGCACGGAATCAGGGAAGACTGAATTTGGGACTGGGGAAAAAAAATGAGCAGCTGAAATTGACACATTTTTCTACCCCTGATCAAAGGGAGCCCGTGGCCTCTTTGAGCCCACGGGGCTTTAAAGCAGTTCTGTCTGTGGCTTTTGTTTGGGATGCTGACAAGGAGACAACGCCATCCTTGAGCAGAGAGACATGACATCTTTCATGCTCACACACTGGTTTCCTCCCTCCAATTTGTATTCCTGGGAACTCTCTTGAAAAATTGGTTTGACTCCAATGTCTGCTTTCCCAGACACCAAACGTTCATCATGCAAAAGGCTCCAGGACCAAATAAGAAATTAGCAGTCCTGGGTCCTCTAACCTTGTGCAGGTCAGAGTCCCTCTGGCCACTCAGATTTTGCTGTTAACCTCTCTTAAGCAATGCTAAGCTGGCTGGGACATATCTGGGCATATTCAGCAGGTTGAAATGTATGATTTTGCTTCTGATTTTTGACATGGTTGGGCTTTTCAAACAAACGTGTCTGTCTGTTGTTTCTCTTCCAACAGGTGAACATGGTTATTGGTATTCTGGTATTTAACAAACTTGTATCGAAAGATGGAATAACAGATAAGAAACTGAAGGAACGGGCAGGGTATGCCTTATATCAATAATTCCTCTAAGCAAAAAAGAATGAAACCGGAAATTAAACAGTCACACTCGATAACCAGGCAGGGGTGGAGGAACACAAAGGGGAGGGTGATAATGGTAACCCCCTTCCTCACAAAAAAAAGAAAGTAGGAATTAGCTACTAGAGCTTCTTTTCCCAATTGGGACCGAGATGGAAGGCAAAGGTTTTCACTTGAGTGTGGTTTACTAAAGGAGCAGAAATGCAACAGAGAACTTCATGCAAAAAACAACAACATGAAAACAAGGATCCAATTGATGCTCGTCAAAGGAGACACTGGGTGGCTCATTGTACGTGAAACTAGTGCTGGGCTGAACTTTCCAAAGAACAATGTTAGGCCTGGATTTGGGGACTGGGCTGAGGGTGAAAAAGTAGGTTTTGCCATGGGTGCATGTCCATTTTTTCTGGGTTTGAGCTTTGATGAGCTCATCAAAGGTTCCACTTAGGGCTGCCACCAATTTCTCCCCAAACCAACTCTCAGAATGGAGGCATGCTGGGAAGCGTACTAGGCGGGTTGTCAAATGCTGCTGGTGGTTGTTTGTGAGTAACCAGGCAGGACTCCAACCTGTCTTTTAGAGGTTTTATTGTGCAAACTATTTACGGTGCAGATCTACAAAGTTCATGTCCGTCTTAGTCACTTGCAGAATCCGGGAGTGGCCCCTTCCGGCTTCTCCCCCAACATAAAAGCTTTGGCACCCCAAGTCTCTTCCTCCCCTCCTTGCGTTTCACCCCTCTGCGCAAGCTGGGCGACGGAAGGGGCATGTGTCCCCCTCTCTTCGTTTGGCTTGCCCCTTCACTCTCTTCCTCACTGGAGGTGTGGCTTTTCTCACCGCTGGAAGACGAACTGCTCCTCAGGAGCTTTGGAGGCTCTCTGTATCCCAACGGCCGCCCTGCCTCCCTCCCCGGTTCCGATAGCCAATGAGTCTCAAACCCTTAGTGAGTTAGAGACTTGTGAGAAGGGACGCGGGTGGCGCTGTGGGTTAAACCACAGAGCCTAGGACTTGCCAATCAGAAGGTCGGTAGTTCAAATCCCCGTGATGGGGTGAGCTCCCGTTGCTCGGTCCCTGCTCCTGCCAACCTAGCAGTTCAAAAGCACATCAAAGCGCTCTGGTGGGAAGGTAAACGGCATTTCCATGCGCTGCTCTGGTTTGCCAGAAGCGGCTTAGTCATCTTGGCTACATGCTGTATGCCGGCTCCCTCGGCCAATAAAGCGAGATGAGCACTGCAACCCCAGAGTCGGCCACGACTGGACCTAATGGTCAGGGGCCCCTTTACCTGCATGTGAAGAGAGGCTCCGGCAAATTGAGCAGACGAGACCAAGAGTGGGTCTAAAGGTCAAGAAGGCAGTTTCTGCATGTACTGTAGAGGGAAGTGAGGGGCAAATGAGGCTCGTCAACCTGGGTAGCCCATCTAGAAGAAAGAAAACTCTTCCTAAACCTCTGCTGTCTTGCAAGGTGCAAAAAACAATGCCATCCAAACCCATTTCTACTCAGAAGTAAGTCCTGTGGAATTCAGTTGTTCCCAGACTGCCTTGGGCTGATCTGGAGGAACCTGGCCTTCACCTAAGTCTAGTGGAGACAGTCCCAGATCACCCCAGGATAGGTTGGGCTGCCTAGAGCAATTGGCCGTGGACAGTTCGTCTAGCAGGGAGAAAGAGAGGCTGGCAGCCCCAGTGTGATGAGTGGAGAATTCAGTCCTAGAGTCTGCAGTGTGCTCCTTTGCAGTATCAAACCACACAGCCAGAAAATTGCTCGATTGGGAGTTATTGTCCTGTTGAAACATGACTGAGTCTTCCAATCAAGGCCTCCTCCAGCTGGTTATCGACTGTGTCAAATGTGTACTGAAAATGAAAGCATCGAGGGAAATGTGGGCCTTTGCTTTTCCATACCTTTCCTCCCCCCTTCTTTTTTCTGTTCATTTCTTTGCTTGCATGTGAAATGTTCTCTTTTAAAAAGTACGTTATCCACGTTGAATGGTTCTGCTGATCTTGTTACCTGTTTAGAACATGTTACCTGTTGAGAATGTGGAAATGCCCGGGAGAGCTGGATCAATTCAGGTCATCTAGCCAGCTAAGGTCAACCTGGGGGTTTTTGGAATTGTGTTGGAGAAGTGGCAACGCTGGGGGTGGTTATAGTAGATTTTGATGCACGTGACATGAGAAAACTTGAAAGTGGACATTCAAATTATTCCATGAAGCTCACAGTCCCCTGCCATTTGCTCCTCAGTAATGATAATTCAGTGGCATAGACTGCGTTTGAAAATGGAGGTTCTGTACAGCCATAATGGAGCAGTCATTTGGCTGAACTGATAAGATGATTCCATATTTATCAGTCGTATTGTTGCACTCCAGTGCTTCCAAGTGATGTAGGCAGTAAAATAAAATAAACATTAAAGCCAGATTTAAATTATCAGAAAATATATTTTAGAAGGAGCAAGCCCTCTCCATCCCACATAAGAGATGAGAAGGCCACTAACTACCCACAAAAAAGGTGATTCAGTTATATCCCTTTCAATTAAAATAAAGGGGTGTGTGGAGGAACCATTTATTTCCAGTCTCTCCCAAGAAGAGAGTAGCATTAATTGCTCTTTGAAACACATTTGCATTCCAGCAAGGAACACAATAAGTTAAATAAACTGTTTGTTTGTTTGTTTGTTTGTTTGTTTGTTTGTTTAAGGCTTTCCAAACTGTTTCCCAACACATGTTTCCAAAGCCAAATACAACATAAATATAAAAAACGACATCTACCGAAAGAAAGAAGAGGGTTTTTAAAAATTTATTTAATTCCATTTCTGAATCACTTCCCGTAAAATATCTCAAAGCAATTTACGCAGATTAAAAACCATTCTGCACGAGAAGGGGGGGAGGACACTCCATATATGCAAACAATTGAAAGCAATTTCATATGTAAAAAACACCCCAGCTCCAGGAGAAATACAAGATATAGAAATATAGAAATATGCATATCAATTTATGGAGAAAAGGAAGAAAGGAAGGAAGGAAGGAAGGAAGGAAGGAAGGAAGGAAGGAAGGAAGAAGGAAGGAAGCCATAGATCTGATTATTGCTGGGATCAATATAATTAGGGAAGAACTTCCTGACAGTAAGAGCTGTTTGACAGTGGAATTTGCTCCAAGGAGTGTGGTGGAGTCTCCTTCTTGGAGGTCTTTAAGCAGAGGCTGACAACCATATGTCAGGGAGTGGCTCTGATGGTGTTCCTGCTTGGCAGGGGTTGGACTCGATGGCCTTGTGGTCTCTTCCAACTCTATGATTCTATGATTCTATGAATGACATGTACTGAAGAAAATGAACCTATGCTGCCAATTCTCATAGTAGACAGTATAAAGTAAGCAGCACATAGGAGGCACACAAAACGCTACCAAACCATTCTACGTTCTAAATCTTATATTAATAATTCATTCATTTATAGTAAATGAATAAATGCTTAAGTCAAGAAAGAACTTAGCATATGAAGTGTAAGTATTGATTTTGGATTATTAATATAAGATTTAGAATGTAAAATGGTTTGTTAGCATTTTGTGTGCCGCCTATGTGCTGCTTACTTTATACGGATCAATGTTATGAGCTGCATACCTGGATCCAGTGTGGTCTAGTGGTTAAGAGCGGTGGACTCGTAATCTGGTGAACCGGGTTCGCTTCCCCGCTCCTCCACATGGAGGGTGACCTTGGGCTAGTCACACTTCTCTGAAGTCTCTCAGCCCCAATCACCTCACAGAGTGTTTGTTGTGGGGGAGGAAGGGAAAGGAGAATGTTAGCCGCTTTGAGACTCCTTAGGGTAGTGATGAAGCGGGATATAAAATCCAAACTCTTCTTCTTCTTCTGGATGTCAGGTGTCACTGCAACTTACCAAAAGGAAGAGTGGAAGGGGTGAGCCACGGAGAAGTCAGTGCGGTGCAGATGGAACGGCAGAAACGTTGCATTGGTTCTGCTGCTGCAACCGCACCGCACAGAACTCGCAGCCCCTCCCCTCCCTCTCAGTAAGACACTCAGCCTTAGAAAGCCAGGCATACACCCCCCCCCCAAAGCCCTTCCAACCACAGCCGCAGCTGCCTTCTCAGAAATCTCCGACATTTCAGAAAGGGAGCAGAACGGGGTAAAGAGAAACAGTGACTTTTCTCAGCTATGCAAGCTACACAGTAGAAATTATTATTATTATTATTATTATTATTATTATTATTATTATTATTATTAGCAGTGGGATATTAACAGCCACTCTGTGGCTGGTCAGCCTTTTCCAACACAGTTCTATCTAACCCCAGTGGCTTTGACCTTTTTGGGGGTGGGTGGGGTGGGGTGGGGTGGGATTTGGGCTGTTGCTCGTGGCTTTCCGCACCTGGAATGACATAGATGAGAGTTTTAACCCTTCCCTTTCCGTTATTTCGTTTATTTCTCTATCTCTCTCTCAAGCTATGGGTGTCGCCGGTCGGGATTTCCTTTTGATCTGTTAATTTATTTATTTTTGTCCCCCCCCCTTTATGGGTTTAAATATTCCCACCCACCCACCACCCGTCCTCTTGTCCTTCCTTCCTCCCTTTTCCTTTTATTTTTTTGGTTTTGTTTGTGTTTTCACGAGCAAAGTGTTTTGTTTCGTTTCAGTCTTTTAATTTTAATTGCAGTCAGATGGCAGTGCCTCTTTACGGCCTCACGCTCAAATGTTCCAAGTGTGGAGTTCTATCTTCTGCTGACGTTTCCGCCACAGCCACCAGTAACGCCATGTTAGTTCCTCTAATTTCAACTTCTTTTCTTTCTCCTTTTTTTTGTAAAAAAAATATTATTATTTTCTATCCCCCTTGACCCTTTTGGTTAAGAGTCTCCTCCTTCTTGCTCTCGCTCTCTCTTTCTCTTTTCCGCACCCTGGTTTGATTTCTTATACCCGCCTGGCTCTTCTGTCTCCTTTATTCTCTCCTTGGACCATATTAGGAAACTAGGAAGCTCCTTTATACTGAATCA